CCACCCATCCATGCCTAAATAAATTAATTATAATTTAGGTTAAATGCCTCTATTAGTATAGTTTATAAATATAAAAAATTTTTTAAGATTTAACGCTAATCGATTAATATAAAATTTGATATTTAAATTTAGGCTTAATTTGACAAATATGCTGTAATAATAGTAATCACAATAAATATCAAATTGTACTTCGCCAATAAAATAGATTACCAGTATTATGGCTTTGGCATAATGGTATTTTAGAAAAATAGAATTCAGGAAGTTAATCTGTAACTCTTTAATATAGTATGTAGAAATTTTACTATATCACACTTAGAGATAGGAAAAATGCGATTTTATAATAAAATGCACATGAATATGCATTATTCAAGACCTCTATTTTTTAAATTGAATAGTATCTATGAGTACTGTATGAGGAACCAGATACTATATGTAGGGGATATATCATATGAAAATAATAAATTAAATATAGTTATACTTCAGGTATTATTCAAGATGGGTGGTGAATAATACCTAAATCTTAATCAAGAGGATACTATTTTTTTTGGAAATATTTTATGCAGTATGATATGAAATATAGCGCTATTTAGGTATTGTTTTTAAAATTAAAACTTACTAAGCGTAAGATTTTCCTCTTTTTCCAATTCATTTTTCAATCCTAGCAGTTTCTTGATCCAAAAGCCTGCCAGAAAGAGTAGTGCATGATGATAAAGTATATCCCAAAATAGCGAGTTTAAAAAGATCAATAATAAATGGATTTTTTATTGTACAAAAAGGAAATCCACAATACACCCACGCTTTAAGAATTGCTTGATCAAGTTCATTAGCCTTAGTATCGGAAATAGGTGTAATCTGTTGATAATATGTAGTAATATTTGATTGCTTTGAACTTTTTGCTTAGCTATTGGTCTTGAAGTTTCTTTTACTAAAGAGTCTTGCTATTTGATTTTTATGTTTTTGGGTACATTATCACAGTTTTTAGCTAAATGAACTTTCATTTCATGTGGACGCCCTCTTAACCAACTTGTAGCACACCACTTACACTTCGCGTTATAAAATCTCTGCTCTAAATTATCACCTTTAATAACATCATTCCATACTTTATCATCTTTTTTCCCTCAGCATGTTTTCTTTTTTTTTCGTATATTGATAATAATTCTACTTGATCAGAATATTCTTTTTCAAAAGCACTCGAAATATCTTGTAAAGCTATAACTTCACTATTATTTGGACTAGTATGATCATATGTCTGATTAGTCATATTTTTAAATACTAATATAAAGTTTTTAATGTTAAGAGTAATTAGTAATATAGTGTGTTTATATATAAATTGTATCGATTAGAGTGTTCAAACTTATACGACTTCAGAAATTGTTCGTTGTTTGAACAATTAAATTGCATAAGTCTAGACGCTCTAGTATCAATATATCATATTGTTGCGAAATAACAGGTATAGGCATTATTTAGACAATGAGAATAGCATAGATGATTTCAAAATAACACCCATACATGTCTAAAATAATGTGCATTCTATATAAGATATCACTCTATATAGGTATATAATAATTTAAAAATCTAGGCTCAGAAAAATTATCTTTGTTGCCCATGCGCGTATTTCAAATATCGCGCATATATCTAAAATGATTCACGTGACATTATTTCGTGACAATATGATATATTCATCTTAAAATCTTTATATAATGTCGCCAAAATGCATAATCGTGAGAAGAAATGCTGAAAATAATAGTGCAAAAAAAAAATATGCTACAATAGAGTTATTATACTATTATATATTGCTACAATTTTTGATTAGTTTTAAAGTGTATAACTTTTGGCTTTTACAGCACTTTGGTGTATTAACAGCATACAGAAGCTAAATGCTGCTAAAATTTGAATGTATTATCAAAAGCCAAAAGTTGAATACTTGTTACAAATAAAATAATTAAATATACAGAGACCAGATTTATTGTTACTATAAATTTAAGCTAAATATTTCAATAGTTTTTTTTACTTTTATATTTTGTTACAAAAATATTAAACTAACTTTCTTAGTCAAAAATAAACAATATCACTATTGTGAAACAAGTGAAAAACAATTGTCATGAAATATTCAATTTAGTTTAATACTGTAAATCCTAATATACAAGACCTGGGTCTCTTACATTTCACCAATTTTAAACCATAATAGACCCAGGTCTACGTAGTATGCAGCCAAGAGTTTATGTCATTAAGAGAAAAATTTAAAGAGTATGCATATTTTAATTTATAATAGGTTATCTAAATATCTGAAAAAAATTGAGCTTGATTAATATAGATCCCATGATTCGTACTTGGGTCTACTACGTGGTAGATCTACTATTATAAAGAGTCTTGTATATAATGATTTACAGTAATAACTTAGAAAAAAATTGACTTTCATAAACCAATAATATAATTTAAAAAGATAAAAGAATACATATCATTAATGATAATATGATTAAGGAATAGTTTTATATTCACATAATAATAATTACATACAAGAACTTGACACTCTTATCATTATACTGTCTTATTAGCATCATCTGCAGAATAATTATACATATAATTGCTATATTGAAATTCTAGTACATATGTGCGAATCCTGCATATTGCTATTGTTTCACAATAGCAATATGCAGGTTATTTTACATGATTTACTGATTATTCGTAAAAGAGAAAAGAGCGATTAGCTATTTTTGATTAAAAAATTTGGCTATTGATTATTTAGCTAAGCTGGTCCTAGAGTTGACTTTATGCGAACATTCTGGGATCAACACCGAGTCTGTTCCAGACAAAATCCAAATGTGGGAAATGCCGTCCCTGTATACTATTTGTATCAATTGTATAATTAAAGAATTGGAAAAGCACTCATGCAATATCTGTTATCGTTCTAAATTATGTGTTATTAGATTGATTTCAGTATAGATCGATTTTAAAGCATCTTCATTGGCAAATAGAAAAAAATTGAAGGGCTTATCAGTTCAAAAAATTGCTAAACACTTAGATGTTAGTAAATCTTCTATAAGTTGAGTTCTCAAGCACTTTCAAAGATATGGATATATTGGGAAACTTTCATAGCACATTTTTGGCAAATATTAAAATATTGATCTTGAGTTATACTTTAAACCAGTTTTGATTATATCTAACTTTTCTAATATTAGTATCTATATGTGTACTATGTTTACTATAAAGTCTAATTTATATTCAGAGCCTTATATTTTTTTTTCAAGATTTATTGAATTTTAACAATGTTGAATGTGTTGACATTACAATGATAAAATTATTTGTAGAACAATTATCATATTTAAAAATATATACTAATCATACCGAATTAATAACTAACTGAATCGACCAAAAAATTATTCGAAAACAGTTGTAACTCAAGGACGAGACCCTGATAAATGTTTCTATTTATGAAGTCTGGACAGATATGATTTAACTTTAAATTTTTCATTAAAATATTTTTTATAATATGAAAAAAGAAAACTTAAGGCCAAACTTAAATACTATATCATCTCCCAGAGACTTAATTTAAAATGAACCAATAATTAATTTGACTGAAGATTTTTTTTAAAACTTTACTATTTATTTAATATTAAAGTTTAAAAAAATCTTGGGCCAAATTAATTATTGACTCATTTTAAATTAAGCTCCTCAGAATAACGCCCTGGGGCGTTATTTCAAGATGATGTGGTAAGCACATTAATATAATCATTATCGTATTATTAGTATTAGTAGTATCACCAATTTCACAAGTACCACTAGTAAGGATAGGAATCATAAAATCATTCATTAGTCGACTAATCGATTATTAGTCAACTAATCGACTAAATTTTTTTATAATCAGTCGGTCGATTAGTTGATTAGTCGATTAGTCAACTAATCAATTAATCGATCAAATAGTTGACCAACATGCATTGCAGAACCAGTACAATTAAATGTGATAATGTTATATAAAGTCTAATACAGTACATCTT